ACAACAAATGTATTTCCATAGGATACAAAGTGAACTTTTAAAAGAGCAGACATTGTGAATTAAATCCCAAATTGGAACTGTTCTTTTACAAGACCAATCGTAAAGAATATTCCGAATAAATTGCAATTCTTGAATATGCTGATGTACCAAGTCTTGAATAAGTTGACTTACCAACATGCTTAATTTTCACAATGGTTTTAATACAGAATGCCTGAGTGAGACCTCAATAATCCTAAAGCAGTTTTTTATACTCCAAACGTCATTGAACTAACTAATTTAAATAAACGATTTTTCTAAGATTAAATCTGAAGATGACTGATAATGATTCTACACACTGAACGTTAAGTAGGATTGACGATTTTGTCACAACTTCATTTTCGGAAAAAAATCTTAAGATATCTTATTTGAAAATTACAACAATATGTAAACATGTTCGCATCCAGAACTTTCAAAGGTCAAAATCATGGCTTGGTCTTTATCTATAATTGAAGTAAACAGCTTTAAAAATTGTATTAATCAGTTAGGCCCAAATTTTTCCTACCCTCAATTATAGGCAAAGGTTAAGCACACACTACAAATTAAATATACACAACACTATCATTTGAAAATAAATATTGGACTGGAGTAAGTGAGGTTTGACGAGATGTAGTTGGAAGATGAATAGATGAAACTGGAGGAGGAATTGGTGGATCTGGAAGAGGTGTAGTAGGTACAGAAAAGACACCACTTCTTACAAAATTGGCTATAAACAGTAAATGGAGTTATAGCTTTTGCAATGGCTATAGCTGCAATTATTACACCCATTTTAAAACAATTATTCAAACAGATATTCTAATTGAAATTCTTATCTCATTATTGAATTTATATTTTGTCAATACTTTCTCTGAAACTGTTCTCGTTTGTTGCATGACAAACAATGTTGACTTTTATGATTTAAACACTTTTTAACTGTTTTTTTTTTAATAAAGCCTTTTATTATTGGGTCTTTACCTTTGATATTATATGTTCTTAGCTATTCAATCTGTTTAACATACGTCGCAATTTCAATGCGAATCACCCTTTATATCGTTTGGATATCTCCTTAATTATCTTTCCTCTTCTGCAGTAAATAACTTTTCCTCTGCAGGTGTAAGTTTTTCTTAATCTTATTGTAATATCTATTGATTAAAGGTTCTGATTCTATTATTATTATTATTATTATTATTATTATTATTATTATTATTATTATTATTATTATTATTATTATTATTGTTATTGTTATTTATTGTTGTTGTTTTGCATCTCTATTTTCAATCGGGTAGAAGTATTGATTGTCTGAAAGTTTGATCTGAAATTCTCTCTCAAAAATGACATGTAGCTCTGTCATCTTTTTATTATCTCCTAACATTTCTAATCAATGCGAAATTCATATTGTATTGGAAAAGTAGGAAGAGCTAGACCTTCTCAAGGAATTTCCGGTACTTCCATCTATTTTCGGGTACCTCCGGATATCTAGAAATATGTAATCACATCGCACGTGAACCTTTATGGGTGAAAGTATGACCTATTGATCGCTGCAGAGTCAGCTTTTAAAAATAATCAAAGATATAACCTCGCTCTCTACTGTCAAAGCGATGAAAGCTTTAAATCACAAGTTTAAGTGATCTTTATATCAACCGCCTTACGAAATCTCCTTACGCATAGGTGTTGGATAGGAGAATGCCACCCTGAGGATGAGAATATGTGACCCTCTGATGGAATTTTCCTATCCAAAATGACGCTCACAAAAGACTGTATTTTCCAGCCAGTACTTTACCCCGTTAATGCAAAGGGAGTGGAGTGAGGGCATTGCTCTGGACTTGCATGAAACAGAGAGCCACGAATCATGCAAAAATATAAAATGATAATAATAATAATCGAATAAGGTTAGTGTCTTTAAACTATTAATTCATTTTTTAAATTCAAACAAATGTTCGTGCAGCGAGCATGAGGAAGGAGTCATCATCTAATGATCTTACCTTAAATAGTATGTTCAATCTTTTGAAAGTGTTTTAAACCCGACTGAACTATCTTCCACCAGAACAACAGTTATACACTAATTTAAGACGCAAAACAGATTCCCGGACGAGGATAAATCTTCTTGAAAAATTAGAAGTTTGTAACAATAAACACATGTTTCATGTCACGTACTCCATGTATGGCCATGACTTAACTTGATGATTCTTATTTTGAGAAGGAATTTCAATAAATTTCAAAAGTTGTTTACCAAAACTGTTACTGCTTCTGAATTAAGGGTCAGAAACTAGATACAGTGTTTTTATATTAGGTGTTTAGCAACGTAAAAAAATTCCAATCAGGTCAAACAGAACTAAACTCAGTTTTGGACAATAGCAAATCCAGCAAAGAAGGAAAGAGCATGTAATAAAATATAGAACTAACAAACAATTAAATCAAATATACATAGCAAACTGTGCATCCATCCGTACACACACAAATACCCATCTGATTAATTCCGAAAGCGGAACCCTGATATTTAGACCATCTCTTTTATGAAACCACTTCTTTTAGTCCTGCTATATGTCGTAATAGCGAACATTCACTATATATGAAACAATTGGGAAACACATCTATATTACCTTTGAGCTGCATATATACAAAATATGTTTGAAACACATCTTTGTATATGTGTGATTTACGACAAGTCATTATTTTTGTTGAATAATCGCAAACATTAGCAAAATATATGTTTATTTGTTTTAATTAGGGAGATAATGTGAGTTGAAAATAAAAGGTCTAAATGAAGGAATATTTTGAGTTTTGATCAGTGAATGTGATTTTTAAAACTGGCAAATAACTTCAATGGTAAAATTGACAACAGTCGAGCCAAGGTAGGTCTTATCTCTGCTGGACATCATTGTTCCTATTTCCATGCTGATTTCGTTAATTTTATGAATACCTTTGAATTTTGTACAAGAATTGTAATTTAAATTTTTGAAACTTTTAATAAATTACTGGTTTGCGGCTTGTAAAGGAGTACTTTAAATTATACGAATGTGAAGGATAATAAAACAAAATGCAAGTGTAAAATTATAGCATCTGAATGATTTGCCGTTGGTTGATTACTGTTTCAATTAACGCATTGAAGAAAACTGTGATTAAAAAAAGGACTCGTGTCTTGGGCTCCTTGGAAATATGGGAACCATCTACATCAAGCCAGATATATGAACGCGTTATTTGATTCGTTTGGCAGAGACCCTAGAGTTTTATCATATATTCATTGATATTAAAAACATTTAAAATTTCCTTACATTGTATGTGGGTGGTGGAGGTGGTCCTTTAATTTAAAGGTAATGTGACGCTCAGTTTATATAAATCAAGTGAGAGACTTCTACACCAGCTGTCATATCCTGTGCAGAATCTAGAGCTATGCAGAATAATTTTATATTTAAAGAGTGACCCCGAATCACGTCACTGGTTGGATTTATTATCTGCTGCATTATCTATGACAGTCTCAGCATTTATGCTCATGCCATCCATTTAAAGACACAATCAATATACTACTACGCTGGCATAAAAATCGTAATCGGGATTGGCAACAGGACTGCTTTTCGTAGTTGATTTTCTTTGATGGATAGTTATCCTTAGACGATTCAGTGGCAAAGCTTCGCAACAAAAGACCCTATTTATTTAGCAGAAAGCGTTTAGAACTTTGATCGCCGGGTACACATGCCGTCTTTGTTGTGCTGCGCTTGCAAGCTCGATCTACGGATTGTTTCAGAAAGACTAATTATAGCCTTTCTTCATTTAGCCATCATTATGAGCTTATTCTAGTGCTGTTTACATTCTTGTTTTTCTCTGCAAGTCACTTTCCGTAGGAAATATAAATAGTCAGGTTTGACCCAGCAGGTCAAGAGCACCAGAAGTCTTTCACGCCCTTGGAACGATTACTACGGTGAAGCGAACTGATGTAGATGTTTTTGATGTTACAGAGCACAGGTATAACAACTAAATCTATTGATAAGGTGGACGTGTTTGAAATGGTCCTATGATTAAGAAGCATTAGTTGCCTGCAGTTTAATTTGCAGGGAAGGGGTGGGATGCAATTGACTTAATAAAACAAATATTTTCTGCCCCCAGGTGAAGAAATCAGTCCCAAATGTTTATGTATATATTAGCAACTAGCTTTCAGGATAGTTTTCTAATGTAGCAAGTGAAGCACAAAGATTTCTCATCTTCGTCTTTGGTAGTAACCTCACATTCACAAATCAAGTGCTTAGACTTTCTAACTCATGTAAAATAGAAATATGTCAGAATTAATTAGACAACTGCATGGTTTGCCTCCGATCTTGATCGAACTCACGCAAAGGAGACAAGATCACATTCATCATTTTCATATTACAATATGTACTGTCTAAGAGAGATTCAGTGTCGTGAAAACTGCATACCTTGCCAAAAGATAATTTAAAAACCGACGATTGCAAACGAAATGGAAATATGAAACGATCCCATTATTAGCATTTATTTCCACCATTTGTAATACTTTTCAATCAGTTGAAGTTTCTCGAAAGAAATGTATTTAATGGAAGGATTGGTGATGTTTAAATAGCAAGAGAGTGATTTGTATTGATAATATTATGGAATAAATTAATATTATGGGATAAAAATATATATTTTTGTAACAAACATACGGTATGTGATCTTTTATTTTCTATACACGTTTCTGTTTATAGCTTTATTTGATTTTAACAATTATGTTTTTGATTATGGGAACCCAGTGTTGGAAAGATACTATTATTAGAGTTAGCCAATTATCGTGAACTAGCGCCATTTATTCCGAACCGGACTTTATGGTAGCATTTGCTAGTTATTTTGTAAAATAGCCCATCTCAGATTTCTAAAGATACATATAAATTGCTAAGTGTATCAGTTTTTAGCAAGAAAAGGTACGACTAACTGTGTGGAATAAGCCCTTGGGTCATGGTTCGAACTGCGTGGCATAAATTACTTATCAACCTGCGTACAGCTCCGGTGGCCTAATGGTTAGAGCATCCGCCTTGGATGCGAAGTTTGCGTGTTCGAATCTCGACCGAGCTTAGTGTTAAGACTGATCGGCCTAGTGTCAGGATAATGCGATTGTGTGGGACATCATACTACATGCATGTGGCATGATGCCCTAGTACTAGACATCACTGTAAATTGCCACACTTCAGACATCGTAACGATATTACGAAAATCCAAATCACACACACGCACAGAGAGAGAGAGAGAGAGAGAGAGAGAGAGAGAGAGAGAGAGAGAGAGAGAGAGAGAGAGAGAGAGAGAGAGAGAGAGAGAGAGAGAGAGAGAGAGAGAGAGAGAGAGTCAGCCGTAAACCTGATCTGTAATTCCCAAACAGGATTAAATATCTGACTCGGAATAAATGGATCTGTTCCCATTGATCCGCCACTCTCCATAAAAATAAACGGTACATTAACTCAATGGATAAAAATAGTATACATATAAACAGCATATTAAAACAGCATAACGTTCAGTCAAACATGATTAGGAAGGGAAAAATGCAAACTCTCGTATATTAAAAGCAACTAAAATGTCCATTCAAACAAAACAGGACATTCTCAAGTGAGCTCATTATAAAAGAGATATGACGATAGCCATCTTCTCCGAATATCTCCTATAATACCATAGGTCACAAACAGCAGGTCAAATATACAGGCTGCTCCTGCTACCACGACGAAGATACTGTAAGTTTGCAATTTTATTTTTATTTGTTACATTACAGTTTTTCAAAATAAACCGCAGCAAAATACTAGCTTACTACACTTATCATGCCTCCAACATCATTACTACCTGCAACAAGTCTCCTCAGCATGACGATCAGTAAATCTGGTGCGTCAAACTACTCAGCAACGAACAAATACTCCATTAGTTTCAGACCGTCTCAGGTTAAACTGTTCCTCACAAGTGTAAACTCACACTGTTATGTCAGTTACGAAACTTCCTCGGAAAGTTTAAGTCTTCCATTAGCATCCACACGATCAGCAGCCATGATACCACAACAAATGATGTTGCCAATTGAAAGCATCGCAGGCTCGCTGCTATCCAAGCTGAGTCATTCGCTCATTCTGTGATCGAAAACAGCCCGAAACAAAATCAAATAGACGAATACAACTAAACAAGGATATGTAGTATCACCTATCTAATAACAAAAATTAAACCATTTATGAATGCGACATTGCGATGATCTATTTATCAATGCTGCAAATTAAATTTCGTGTGTCAACGATTCCCAAATAAACATTATATTTCCAGCTAATTCATATATCTACTAATGATGAAAACCAATATTATATTACCAAAGTTATGCTGGAACGCAACAGTTTATTTTCAAAGTACACTATAGTAAAAACTTCTCTACAAACAGCCTCTAACTGGTCAAAAATGCAATCCCATCCCCATCCTGGATACCATGACGAAAACGCAGACGCAGGACTTGAGCTTCAGAATGCATGTCTGTCAAAAATCAGATGACGCCCAAGACCTCAGTGTCCAAACTAAATTGCTCAAAATCTATCAACGCCAACAGATAACGCTAGCTGACACATCAACATCACCTCTAATATATACAAATGCTACAGTGACAAAATATCGTCTACAAGCATCTAAAACAATCACAATTTGAAATGTCACACTTAAATCGAACAGTTAACTCCAGAACGTTGAATTATACCCCATAATCAATATGTGCGATCGATTCCAAACGACTATATCCAAAACAGCAAACAAGCTAATTCTAACAAAACCCCCACGGATTTTAACTCTACACGTGATTAATTTCAAAGCAATTTCCCCAAAATAAAAGAAGCATCTGCCTTCAGATACGACATTAGAATGAAGTATCATAAATTAAAAATTTACACCATTTTCTATCTTATCTTTAGTTTGAATTTTGAATTTTTATTCTTCAATTTTTTCATTTTCAATTTTCATTTAATAAAATTGACTTTAATTTTTAATTTTAATTTTCAAAAATGCGACGGGTATGGGTACTTGCACAGATTATGCACGTATATATATATATATATATATATATATATATATATATATATATATATATATATATATATATATATATATATATTCATGTAAAGTTTTACAAACACGTTTTTTATGTTTTATTTGTTTGTTTTGTCTATGTTTTGTACACGACGTAGGAATATGGAGGGAGAGGACGTCAGATGTAGTCCAATATATGAATAACAATAATTTCTCACTTGAATCACAGTCTTTGTTTCCGAATAATTCCAGAATTAATTTTCTTGGATATCTTTCAGATTTTTTTTTTAAATAAGAAAGTCAACATGTTGAGTGTCCAGAAAAAAATTTTTGAATCCAAAAATCAGACGAATAATAAAATATTCTAGTAACAAAATAAAAACAGCACCTTGCTTATTCAAGGTTTTGAATGATTCTGCGTAAACAAATAGTAAGAATGCGTATTTAACCTCGAAACATCACTTCAAATCTCGCAAGATTGGTCATGTGGTACGCTAAAATTCATACGTAGGCTAATGTCACTCACTAAAAAAAACAAAACAATCATGAAAAAGGTTGTTTACAAACATCGATCACGCGGAGAAAATATGTCTGCGATTATGACAAATCATTCTAACTTCCTTTTGATTTGTTACCAAGGTAAGACGAATTCAATGTCAATTTTCACTATTTCATCTTAAATAAACAAAGTTTGTGCTAAAATTATATCTCATACTAAAAATAGAATCCCGAATCCAAGAAAAATATTCATTGCAATTAAATACAATGAAACAAAAATGAAATAAAAAGAATTATAAACTTTACACACGAGCAATCTAATCACCTATACATAACAATATTCATTGCACTTTACAATTCAGGCTTTTTTTGTCGAGCACATGGGAACAGTCATGAAGGTAAATTATGTGCCTAGGTCATGTACACATTTGGAAAGCACAATATCCAAAGAAATTTCAGCCACAATAGTATGCCAACATTCTGTCCATTGTACCTGTTGCAAATGCAAAAAAAAAAAAAAAAAAAAAAAAAAAAAAAAAAAAAAAAATAAAAACTACATCTTACACTTGCCACTCTGTGAGAAGTACATACTGCTGTAGAGTGTCCCTACTGTAAAGTCTATGCTGTATTGATCATTTTTTTTTGTCAGGAAAATTTCAGATGGCATGATGACATTTAAATTGCAGAGCATTTAAGTTATGATTTAAGACATTTAAAAAACTAGTTTGTTATTAACTTTTAGAAGAAACATTAATATCTAATTTGCTTAAATGCTTATAAATGACCACACTGATATACACTTTGTTTTGGTTAATACCAGCCGATCTGTTTTTTTTTTAAATTTTTTTTATATCGGTCTGTAGCGTGAATTTTTAACTAGCTGAAGTTGACGTTAAATTTTATGAGGGTTTGTTCCAATCGAGTCCGTCTTTCCTTTCACTTCCGCTGTAAACATGGCGGCCTCTCCGCCGCTCCCTCAGGTTAAAATATTCGCTTTATATTTTATGTGAAAACTACAAATAATTTTATTAGTTGCATGCAAGCGTTTTAATTTAAAACATCTAAATGTAAAGTATAGTTGCGTTTTTCTGTCTGGAAGATATCAGTGTACATGCACGAAAAAATTTACATGAGGTCATCGTATTTCGATCATGGTGACCGCAGTGCAGATGTGGGGGAGGTGCTGGTATATTTAAATACGAGACTAATTCCATGGAAGATCACGGGTAAAAAAACAAACAAAATTAAGTAGAGGGCTTGAATATATAATGTTTCATGCCTATCAGTTGTATACTATCAGTCATCTGCTGGTGCTGGATTACATCACTGCTAGTGAGGGCCCGGTATGGATGAGTGGGCTAAACGCTCTTCGTTACGGATCACTACCATCTCACCTTTGTCTGGGTTCGAGTCTCGGATTCAGCCAATTTGGGTATTTGAGAAAACTTGTCAGTAGCTTCTCGTAGGTCGGTGGTTCTTTCTGGGGTTTTCCCGGTTTGTTCCTCCACCATTAATACTGTCCGCCATGTATAGCTTAGTGTGTGCTGAAGAATGGCGTTAAAACCCTACAACAGCAATAATAGCAACTACAACATCACTATGTGTGGTTGGTGCATTTTTTAGCTTTATCACAGAACATAAAAACTCATAATAAAGGCAAAACCAATTTCAGATATTATTATATCATTTCAAAGACAAGTAGACAGGTCTGTACATTCAATTATTATTGCAGAATCGACTTTCCTACAACTATCTTCTTCCTGTAAACGTTTGTTATAGTAAAATTCACAGGTTATGTATGCCTTCAACAATGACAATTTCATTAGTGGGTGTCAAGTTTTAGAATTTGATTTTACATACCTTTAAGAGGTAAGTATTCATTTCATAATTGAAAGCATCCTGAATTAGCCTTAATAACTTATAGTTGGACAAAATCATTTACACCCCACAGAATAAATACACTTACAATTTGTTCCATAGCAGCGAATTAATTTCTCAATCTGCACCTTTCCAGTTGTTGTTGTTTGGGGCTTAATGCCATTTTTCAGCACAAATGTGGTTCCTAATCTGCTATTGAGCTCACTTATAAGGTTTATTTTGTAGTAGATGTTTTAGATATTGACAGCATGATGTTCAATCTGTCGGTATATTGCCACTGGGTTATATATATATATATATATATATATATATATATATATATATATATATATATATATATATATTAATATCTGTTTAGACAATATATCATGGACTGTCTTGATTATAATTGAGGTGGTCAAGTGGCATAGGGTGTTCAACTTTACTGACATCTCACCTCTCTCCATGTGGGTTGAAATCTTGACTCTGTAAATATGGGTCATTTGCTTCTTATGGGTCAGTGGATATTCCTGGGTTAATCCTCTACCAAATTTTCTGGCCACCATGTTAAGCCTATTATGTGCTGAATAATGGTGTTAGTCCCACATTGTTCATAATCATTGTTCTCCTTATTTGACTTTTATTTACACATTCAGAGGGTACTCATAATAAGATACAAGAAGATG